TTGGTATTTCCTAAACACTAAGTGTGTTAATTGCTGTTAATGACATGAGGCTGAGTAAATTTGTCATCTTGGGTAACTTATTTTGAGCTCAACCCTGTCTACATAATAGACACTATGCTAATATTTATCCTAGGTCAAATTATTTAATTCCTGTGAACCACACTAGGAGGAAGGCATTATTGTTTCTATTTCAGAGATTAGAAAACTGATAATCATACTAGTTAAATCACTTGTTCAATGCCACACAGCTGAGAAAGTGAAGAACCAGAAAAGGGATCTTTTACCCAAGCCTTGCTTCTTGTTAAACTAGCATATGATTTCCCAAAGGAGTCACCATACTATCTAGTGGCAGATGATAAGACATGTATCCAAGTGGCCCTGTTACAGAAAGACTGTCCTAAACCCTGCATAAACCAAGAAAATTGACATTTAAGAGAGAAAAATCCATAAAGGCTTCATGAAGAAGTTTGCAAGACATTGGCGAGGATTTCCCAAAGACGTAGTAAAAGGGACATAGGAACATCTAACGTAATATACAGTAACTGTACTTCTGGTAAACTTCATACTGAAAAATTAGTAATACCTACTGTATTTTGAATACCTATTGTGAATTTCAATTATAATCAATTGTTCACCGAATGACTACTGTGCATCTGGCAGTGAGTGAAGCTGCATTATTTTATCACTTTTCATTACGAGTTGTGAAGTAGATGCTATTGTATCTCATTCAATATATGAGAAAACTGAGGTAAAGGATTTAAGTAACTTGTTCGAATCTCACAGGTAAATAAACTGCAGAGCTAGCATTCAAAGCCTGAGCTCTTAGCACTGTATTAATTGACCTGCTGGTAATATTGAGAAAGTGCTTATCTCTGTGTCAGTCCTGTAATAAGCACTAATAATAATTATAAGAGTTGCTACCATTTATTGCACATTATTATAATCAAAGACACAAAAGCAAGACTGTATACAGCACAACAATCTCAAAGAAGTCTACAGGGTCCCTTTTGGGGAGGGATTGGTGTTTTGAGGAGACATATGGGCAAAGGCAAGTTGGGAGCACAAAAGAATTTTCAAGGTCAGAAGGCATTTGACCTTGATCTGAGAAACAATTATGAAACAACAATGGTGTTACTATAGCAGGTCAGTTACCTACAGAAACCAATGTACACAGTGCACATTTAAAATGCACCTTTGGAAGTGAGAGATTATTGACCTAAACTTGGAAAGTGATTGAGTATGAGCTGCAGGGGGGAAGGAGCATTAAAAGATAAGTTTTGGGGAATTGAGCTTAGGTGGATAAGTGGGATATGGTGGTGGACTAAATTAAATACAGGGTGAAGAACAGTAAGAACAGCCTTAGTTTGGGGCTGGGTCAAAGGCATGAAAGGAATTAATGGGAGGAAAATGACAACCCTCTTTGGGGAAACTTTGATTTATAGGAGCCAACGTGTAATGATTTTCAGCAGGTTGTTAGAAATATGTGTGACTTAGTATAGCCCATGAGAGAAAAAGACAGGGTTGACTATACAGATTTCGAAATGATCCAGAACTGTGCAATATTGGTCACCAAATTATTACTCACCTTATCCATAGTAGCTTTGGTCACTATCCCTCTGTATAGTTTTAGTTTTTTGGGTGTTGGAGGCAGGGACAGAGTTTCACTCTTGTTGCCCAGGATGGAGTGCAATGGGATGATCTCAGCTCCCTGAAACCTCTGCCTCCTTGGTTCAAGTGATTCTCCTGCCACAGCCTCCTGAGTAGCTGGGATTATAGGCATCCACCACCATGACTGGCTAATTTTATATTTTTAATAGAGACAGGGTTTCACCATGTTGGCCAGGCTGGTCTCGAACTCCTGACCTCAGGTGACCCACCCACCTCAGTCCCTCAAAGTGCTGGGATTACAGGTGTGAGCCACTGCGCTCAGCCTGTATAGTTTTATTTATTTATATTTGGTGTGCTTTATAGTACCTGAAATTGTGTGTGCCATATATACCTACCTTTATTTTTTATTATCAGTATTCTTCATTTCATTATTATGAGGAATTTGACATCTTTTTTATCACTGTTTATAGATTCTAGATAATGCTTGGCATATAGAAGGCATTCAACATATACATTTCATATGAATGAATGACTATACCAATCAATGGGTCTCAGTTTTTATATCCATAATGTAAAACACACATTTCTTATCACTAATAGGCCATTGATATTGCTAAGATCAGGACAAAATCTATGAACTACCTGCTCAGAAAAAGGCACACATACTGCAATTTGTCATAAAGGTGTAGAGGATTCACAGACATCTCAAGGCCCACAGATTCATCTAGAATTAGAGATACAAAGGAGTGGGCTCATCCCATGTTTCCCTCACTGTGAAGCTTGAAGGAAACCTAAACCTAGGGGTTTGGATAATTGTTTTAAAAACTGATCTCAGAATAGCTTAGTAAAAGCAGTGTCATATATATGTGTGGGAGTGTTGACTCTAGTCTCTACCCTAAAGCACGTAGGTGTTCTATGTACCCAAATGGGGAGTTCAAATTCCAGAGATGGTTATTGCAAACCTTGACAATATTTTTAGGACTTCTAGACATATACACTGATGAATTTAACCAGTTTACAATATTAATAAATTTAATTATAAATTGATAAAATTCATTGGTTTTCAAAAATGTAATTGGCTTAAAAGACCACAAAGGCAACTACTGCTTTCATGAACAAAACATGCAACCCAACGAGCCCAGCAGCCTGGTGGCCTGGAAACAAGCTCCGTGGCTGGGAGTCCAGTGAGTCCATGTATGGAGGATCTATGAAACTGAGTTACCTGAATGGTAAGCTGAGCCTGCTGTTGGAACACATTCTGTCCACTGCAGGGGTAAACCCTTCCTGCAAGGTGCTCCTCAGAAAGCCTAAACAACAGAGGCTAGAGACCTCACTGATCTCATAGAAAGAATGACTCAATATGCATATTTGTTTGGGTGTGTGTGTTTGCTAAATAATGTGTGGGCTTATTTGATCTGAGATTTGCTTTCTTTATAACATAAAGAGAAGACTTGGTTAATTATATGACTTACTGAATTATCCAGGTTTTATGTCATATAAAACCCAAGAGCAAAGTAAGAGAACAAATAGCCTTCACCATTCACTAATGGTTAAAGCTTACCAATCCTTGCCAACTATGCATTCTCTAGTTAACCTATGCTCATTTGCAACTGGTTGAGAGAAGAATGGGGACACGATAAAATTCTAAGTATAAGGAGACCTCAGAGCAATGGGAGGAGAGACAGAAAAGTCCCACAACATGGAAAAAACAGCAGGAAGGTGTTTAGTGGAGTTAACAAATGCTTCACACTTTGAAAACTGTGAGCACTAAGGGGAAAACTTTAGTTTTAGAATTAGAGATAAAATTCATTTTTAAGGAAAAAAATTAATAGAATGGCAGCAGAGTGGAAATATCCAGAAAAAAGAAATGATTAAGAACTTACTGAGTTCTTCTGTATAAAATATCATGCCAGGTTTTGTTAGAAAAACACAATATATAAAAAATTAGCTGGGCATGGTGGCACGTGCCTGTAATCCCAGCTACTCGGGAGGCTGAGGCAGGAGAATTGCCTGATCCCAGGAGGTGGAGGTTGTGGTGAGCCGATATCGCGCCATTGCACTCCAGCCTGGGTAACAAGAGCAAAACTCCAACTCAAAAAAAAAAAAAAAAAAAAGAAAAACACAATATATAATACAGACTTTCTCAATTGTAACAATATTTGCACTGGGGATTTCTTCAACTGCAAAAGGAGATGTTATGAAAAAGTCGTGTCCAAGAGTAACGAAACACAAAGAAGTTATTATTTCTTTGGTTGCCCATTCACTTACTCTATATCACTATTATTCTGTTCTAATTTATTTACTTTATCCAGTTTATTCCACCTTCTTTTGATAAAATAGTACCAAGTTCTCTCTTTAGGTAATACTACATTTTCGCTATGTGGCTAACATAGTGACCATGTGACTGTGTGATATATACCACCAAATCTAACCGTGGGCACAGATTGGGTTGAGACAATTGATACAATGCTTCAGTGATAATAATTGATTCAGGGATGAGCCTGTGGCTAAATTCAGGGCAATGAGGATGAGGTTCAGGAATTCTATTAGATACCTAAGGAACAGAGGTCATCTTTTTTTTTTTACCGTTGATAGAAGGAATTTAAGTTCAAAACCAAAGTTTTTTGCACTACTTGAGGCTGAGCCTAGAATTTCCAGATGTTCTCAATCTGAAAACCAGAATCAAAGAAGAGGGGCAAAAGGAATCAGGTGACATTATTTTAGCTGCTGAATTAAGCCTTACCCGAAGCTTCACTCTTAGTTTCCAAAAGTTTAGACATGTTTTTAAACTTTTCATCTATATAAGTTAATATATCCTTATTGTTATATAAACCAGTTTGATTTTAATTTTCTTAAACTTGACTTTTTTTTTTTTTTTTTTTTTTTTTTTTAAGCCTTAATGAAGAAATGTCTTTCAGAGCTTCTGGAAAAACCAAGGTAGTATTGAAAGTTTATGAAGGCAAACAGTGGGCTAAATCTAGAAAAGTCGTTTGGAACTAGCAATAAAGGGCCCTCCAAGCCTCCAAGGTATTTAAATTAGCTACAGATTGGACTTTTAAATTAGTTAATCATTCATTCCTCTGTGCTCTTAACACCTGCTCCTTAGACCTCCATTGGTTACTGATGTTGCCCAGTCCTAGATTAGAGCTCATTGTTTAAATGTTTCTTTTACCCACTAGATTGAATAAAAACTCCCCAGCTTTTTTGAGGACAGAGGCTATTTCTTACTCAAACTACTAACCTCATGTGTCCTAGCATAAAGCCTATTGCACAGTAAGTAGTTGTAGCAGGGAGGAATGAGGTGAGAGGATGTATCATTCCGTTTCCATACTGCTATAAAGAACTGCCTGAGACTGAGTAATTTATAAAGGAAAGAGGTTTAGTTGACTCACAGTTCAGCATGGCTGGGGAGGCCTCAGGAAACTTCCAATCATGGTGGAAGGTGAAGAGGAAGCAAGACACCTTCACAAGGTGGCAGGAGGGAGAAGTGCCTAGCGAAGGGGGAAGAGCCCCTATAACCGTCAGATCTCGTGCAAACTCACTATCCTGAGAACGTCACAGGGGAACCGCCCCCATGATCCAAATACCTCCACCTGTCTCTTCCTTGACATGTGGCGATTATGGGGATTGTAATTCAAAATGATATTTAGGTGGGGACACAAAGCCTATATATATCAGAGCATTATTTTGGCAAATCCACTCTGGCAGCAGTGGATTAAGACTGAAATGAAATAACAAGGAATGAGAGAGAAGCTAATTAGTTATGCATTTGAGTATTCCAGAGAGAATAGAAAAGGGCTCAGAGAAATAACTCAAGAAAATGTTAAAATCTAAATTCAAGCAGCCCCATGAATAAAATGGACATGATCACAGCAATAAGTGATCATACAGTGTTTCTTTTTCCTGTTCTCTTTTATTCATGTAAAGTTCTTAAAACTGTTGCCCATGGTAACATTCAGTGGAAAGCTGACCAGCATTTGGACACATCTATCAGATCAAACATTGATGAAAAAGCCCGTATCTTTCTTTTTTCTAGAGTCGATTGTTCTAAATATAGATGGGATTGGGTTTCTTAGAGCAACAGAAGTGACAGACATTGAGTTGCACTATTGACAATGTCCTTTTCCTCCCCTAAATACAAGCAAATTTGAAATTAAAAATAGCATAACCCCAAAGAGATAAATGTTTAAAACATGTCAAATGTTTTCCAGTTTTAGAGGGTTGATCTCACACCTTCTCCCATGATAGCATGATGGTGAGTAAAAAGAGGAATGATCAATCAGAGGAAGCACTGGTCTTAAAGCAGCTTTAATGCATTTGAGTAAGAGATATTACTTTCTAGAGTAAACTTTAGAAACAGCTCCAGTATCCATTGTCACAGCTGATTAAGAAAATTTTCGAAAGAATCAGTCTTAAAAGGCAGCACACACCTCATCTCATTTATAAAACCCTTTCAATTTTATAAATTTTAAGGTAATATCTCATTACTTCAGAAAACTTGGAAAATACAGAGAAAAAAACACAAAGCGTAATTACAATGTAATCTCTTAATGTAACTACGGTTAACACATTTTTTTAATTTTTTCTTTTGAATATTATTTATATGAACACCACCATGTACAAACTTACACACTCTGTGTCTTTGCTTGGAGAAGGCTTCCCTGACTTTCAATTTGTTATTTCTTCTCTTCCCTGTGTCCGCTATTCGTTTTCCCTAGCATGCTGGTTTTTGCTTTGTAGAACTTAACACCATTTTTATCAGTGGTTATATATTTTTTTATGCCAGTTTTCCACATGAGGGCAGAATCACGGTTGTTTTTTCAATATTGCCTACCCAACAGGAGGCAAGTGGTTGGCACATGGCACATGCTGAAGGTAAACTATTAAAGTTTTCAGGCACTGTGGTGCAGGGGTTCAAGGCAGCAGGCTGTGCAGCTAAGCTTCCTGGGTTTGCACTCTCTGCGAAAGGCAGAATACTGCCCTCCCAAAGACGTCCACATCCTGATTCTCAGAGCCTCTAAATGTGTTACCTCACATAATAAAAATAACTTTGCGGGCATGACTAAATTAAGTATCTCAAGATGAGGAAATCATCTTTAGGGTATCTGATGGGTCCATAGAAATCACGGGGGTCTGTATAAGTGGGATGCAAGTGGGGCAGAGTTAGAAAAAGGCAATGTAATCATGGAAGCACAGAGAGAGAGAGAGAGAGAGAGAGAGAGAGAGAGAGAGATACTAGAAGGGCCATGCTGCTGACTTTGAAGATGCAGGATAAAGCCACAAACCAAGGAATATAGGTGGCCTCTAAGAATCTGGAAAAGACAAGGACAAAGATTCTACCCTAGATCCTCCATAAGAAACCAGCCCTGCTAACTTATTTTAGACTTCTGACCTCCAGAACTATAACAGAATAAATCTGTGTTGTTTTAAGGCACTACGCATGTGGTCATTTGTTCCAGCAGCAGTAGGAAACTAATATGCCTGCTTTGCATATGAATGGTCTCAGCACTTCAATCATTCTCTCTGTGCACCAGTTTCTTCATCTGTAAAACAAAGAACAAAGCGGCACCTGCCTCACAGCATAGTTTAAGTCCATAAATACGTGCAAAGCATGTAGAACAGTGCTTGGTACATCCCATATTGTCAATAAATATTGTTTTTAAAAGTATATATTTCCAAACTCCTTTCTAATTCTTTAATTTACCAATGCAGTTTATCAGTGTTAAATTTCTCAATCTTTATTGCTTAGTTGGTGAATAGGGTATGTGTGTGTGTCTTTCTTGATATCAGTTTTTAATTTTAATTTGACCATTTAGTTAGGTCATCTGCTGGGAGGAGGAAAAGCCTTTAGTCATCTTTATTCTCTGGTTCACCCTTAGCTGCCCACTCCTTGCCCACATTGGAGATCACAGTTGACCCTATAAAGCTCCTAAGGCCACCTACTTATCAGCCAGGGAATCTTCTCTAGTCAACCTCACATTCCTTGCATTTGGGAGAAGAAGGTGATTGCTTTTATCAGCCTACATCTGGATTCCCTCTTTCTGTCTGTCTTGCTTTTCAGTTACCTCACCCTAACTTCTAAGAATCTGCTCAGCCATTCAAAATGATGCTTCGTGTTGTACCTGTCTCCATCATGTTGGGCTGTGGTAACAAAAATATCACAGACTAGGCACTTTAAACCACAGAAATTTCTTTCGCACAGTTCTGGAGACTGGGAATCCCAAGGTCAAGGTGCTGGCAAATGCCATGTCTGGCGAGGGTCTGCTTTCTGGCTTGTTGACAGCCATCTTCTTGCAGAGAGGAAGAAAGAGCAATCCTGTGTCTCTTCATTTTAAAATAAGGGCGTCAATCCCATCACGAGGGCCCCATCCTCATAACCTAATCTAAGCCAAATTACCTCCCAAAGCATCATCTCCCAATGCCATTACACTGGAGACTAGAACTGCACCCTATGAGGTTGGGTTGGATACAAACATTCCACCCATAACAGTCTCTTTCACTCTACAGATAATCCCCTATTGGTTTTTCAACTTTTTTACAAATAATATAGATTCTCCCTCTCTCTTCCAGCCTGCAGTGCAATGGTACCATCTCAGCTCATTGCAATCTCCACCTCCTGGGTTCAAGTGATTCTCCTGCCTCAGCCTCCCAAGTAGCTGGGATTATAGGCACACACCACCATACCTGGCTAACTTTCATATTTTTAGTAGAGAAGGTGTTTTGCCATGTTGGCCAGGCTGCTCTTAAACTTCTGACCTCAAATGATTCACCCTCCTTGGCCTCCCAAAATGCTGGGATTATGGGCATGAGCCACAACACCCAGCCCCAATTTTTCAACTTTACAATGATGCAAAACCATCACAACTTTGAAGTAATATACAGTATTCAATAAATTACATGAGCTATTCAACACCTCATTATAAAATAGACTTTGTGTTATGTAATCTTGTCCTACCATGGGCTACCGTGAGTGTTCTGAGCATGTTTAAGGTAAGCCAGGTTAAGCTATGATATGTGGTAGGTGAAGTACATTAAATGTATTTCTGACCTAATGATATTTTCAATTTACAATGGGTTTATTGGGGCATAATCCTATTGTATATTGAGGAACATCTGTGTTTAACAACTCCAGAGGTTACTGATGCCCTGATCCTTTATCCACCTGAGGTCTTCAGGTTCTCATATTAGTGTCCTTATTTTCACTTTTACTGAGACAGTAGTCCTCAGGCCTGTATAATAAAATGATAAAATGGAAGAGCCTTTCAACCTAAATTTTGTAAACTCGGGGGGTTAGAGATGTCTCATGTTTGAATTTGGGGTCTGCAACTCTTTAATCCACAGGGAAAATGATGATATGCCCATGTTACCTAAGACAATCCCAATTTATAACAATTAATCCAGTATAATTAGTGGAATTCCCTGCTGGTTTGTATAATAACTTCTGTAATCACTGAATCTTGGATGTTGAATGAGTCCCTTTATTCCTCATCTGTAAAATACAATGACAACATCCTCTCATAGGATGCTGGGTGCAGTAACATGAGCAATAATTATGGTGCATAGCAGATGCTTGCTGTAGGTTAGATTCATTCCTTTAAATAATAACTGAGCTCCCTCAAACCAAGAAGAAAAATACAGTCAGACTAGGGAAACTGATTAATTTGATTTAGAAGAAGGTATTTAAAAGCAGGGTTTAGCTGGAGACAAGACAGGCTTAGTCAGCATGCCAATGGCTTAAAGCTAGGAAGTAGGGTCATAAAATCTCAGCAATAGATGAAACTTTACTCATTATCAAGTCTCTTCCCCCTGCTTATACAAAAAGCTGCAACAATCTGTGACAGAGCCATCACCTAATTATTAATATTAATGGCTAACATTTATAGGACATGGTGCTAAGCACCTCAGGTGGATTACTTTAAATCTTCTTTATAAGAACTCTATAAAGCAGATACTGTGATTGCCTCATGTAAAGATGAAGAGACCGATCTATGGTTACCTGAAATTTGCAAGTTCATGTAGTCAAAATTCAGTATCTTCACTTTGGGTGGCTGAGGCAAAAAAATTGCTTGAGGCCAGGAGGTCAAGACCAGCCTGGGGAACATAGAGAGACAGAGACAGACAGACAGAGAGAGAGAGAGAGAGAGAGAGAGAGAGAGAGAGAGAGAGAGAGACAGACAGAGAGACAGAGAGATAAAGGGAGAAAGGGAAGAAGGAGGAAGGAAGGAAGGCAGCAAAGAAGGAAGGAAGGAAAAAGAGAGAAAGGAAGGAAAAAAGGAGGGAGGAGAGAATAATTCAGAGGCTTGCCTACTAATGAGTTTTTGGTTGCCACATAGGATTTTGATGAACAATTTATAAACCTGAAATTTGTATTTGAGGAGTTCAAAATGTCCTTAAAATGTCTAAATAATTTCCAAGAGTTTCCTTATTGTAAAGGATGCCTTATTTTTACTGATTTTATTTGGCAAATGTTACTTCCTACTTGCTAGTAGTTTTTAAAATCACAATGAAATGCTATAATATCCCGAAACATAATAGGCAATGACAAAAATGATACATTGGATATTTTTTCCAGAACAATCTATTGGTTTCAGGGCCTGGGAGAATGTGTTACCTATCGAGAAATTTACAATGCAATGAATAGATAGTTATGAAGGTGTAGTGAAAATTGTTCAGGGTTTCACAGATGGAACAACTTCATTCAAGTTGATCTGAAATAACTCACTGTGTGAGTCTGAACCAGTAATTTTTTTTTTTTTTACTCTGCGCTTTAGGTACCCTTTCTGGAAAACGAAAGATGGCTTAGATTATTACTAACCCCTTTTTAAGTTTGAACAGCCTCTGATTCTCTGAAATATGGCCTAGATTCCTTGCAAATTGTCAGTTTGGCAACAAAGCTTGGTGCTTAGAAAAAGCTCAGGGCATTCAATAGAATTCAATTTTATATTTCACAGATGGAAACTAATTGAAATTATGTAGGTAGATCAAGTGTAACAGCAAACGCTTGCACCGCCATGTAGCAGACCTTTAGCCCAGAACTGCTTCAGTCTGTCAACAGCACTGAGCATGTTGCAGTGAAGTCGGTAATCATCTGTCTTCCCTACAGAAAGTCATTGCTGAGAGCAGAGTTTTCCTGGGTCAAGGACGCCAGGTTGCTTATTTTGAGAGGGATCATGGTCAGGATCTTGCAAACCAGAAGTGCTTTTCCGGTTCTGCATTAATAGATGTTTAACTTGTCCCAGAACAGGGGCAACAGTGCCAAAAGGGAAGCGTGCCCACCAGCAGGACTAGACTATGGCCTGAGACTTTGAAGACTTCTACTTTTAGCTTCTCCTGTCTGTATCGTGAGCACCTGCACCTCCAAGAGCTTCTTTGAAGCAGCAAATGGTCTGCCTGCTCCAGCTCCACTTCATAGCTCTTCTCTCTTTTGTGG